TTTGTTTCTTGAGAATACCAAAGAATTTGATTGCTCTTTTTAAATCTGAATACAGGTAATTGGACATGGGATAAGCACTGAAGTATTTGGTCCATGAGAGGCCTCTAGAGGCCTCTGTGTCTGCTTGTGCCATTTATCATACATTTATCATGTCAACACATTTTCTGCCACAGCGGTTAATGAGATGAGCTAGTCAAAGCTGAACAGTGTAGGTAGAATTCAGCCCTACGTAAGGTCCGATGCACCCAGCCCAGCAGTGTATGCCAACACAAATGGAGGAACACACACCCAAGTGTACTGCTTAGTTCTGACTGGAACTAAGAGAAATGTCACAAATGACATATTTGTCCATTTTCTGTCTACACCTGCAGCTTTTCTACTCTGTTTTCTCATTACTAAAGTTACAGTACATATTGTATCTGCTTTATAGAGAAAGAGAGCTCAGGGTCAAAAGTCATCTTCATTCTTATTGCAGTTGAGAAGGATTAAAAAGTTCAGCTCTAAGCAAAGAGATGAGATATTTTTTTTCAGATGTGGTATTTGACCTTCACACCTGCTTATTACCACAGGTCTGATCAGAAAGTGCCTCTTTTCCAGTGGCAAGCTGCTCAGCAGATACAATCCATAAGCCTCCTCTAATGGGATGAGCTGAGAGGAGCCCAGCAAAGTACAGAGGATTTAGTAGAGGAGGAAGCACAGCCAGGGAAGATCTAGACAGAGATAAGGCAGGATATAGTATGAAAAATGTCATCAGGCTTGCAGATTGAAGTTTGGTATCCAAAAACTATATGTTTAACCCCCATGTTGTCAAAAATGACCCACTGATGCTTATAATAACAACTAAATATGTAAGTAACATTTATATAAATTTTTTTATATCTGCAAATCCAGTCCATCTTAAAAAAATTATCTGTACCCTTATGTTACACACTCCAGAGGTTATAATGAAATTAAATCTCTTCTTGCACAATTCAATTAACTTCAAGTAAAAAGTTTGCAAGTGCCAAGCATCCGCAATATTTGTTATCAAAGTCCTTGTGGGGAGTGTTGTGGTCAAACGTATTATTCCACTGTGTGCCATCTAGTTCTGATCAGTGGTGTGTGGGATATTGAATGTGGCAGATGAATGAACAAACAAATGAAAGTTTCAGACCCCACCCACTGGTTGCAGTGATAAATATGAGAAATGCAACAGCACTTTGGAAAGGAAGACAACATTGACAGATGAGATTCCAGTGCTCATGCAGTAAAATAACTGGTGAGAGATGAGATGACATTATTTTTATTAAATTAATCACAAGGCTTTACGAGATTTTCATCTGTCATCTGCCTTCTTTTTTTTTTTAATTGTCCATTTTACTACCTCATCCTGCTACAAGTTTAATGTTCAGATGGGCAGTCTCATAAAGCAAGATGAGTATGAGTTTAACCCTGTTTTATGGACTCACAAAGTTGGCTGAACTTTATGGCAAGTGTGCACAGCTAATGCACTATGAAACAAGTTATACTTTGGGATCCAAATGTGTTTAAAACATGACAAGTGCAAAACTCTGCATGGACATGGAAGAGCTTTTTTTTAGTATAGTGTCAATAATTTATTAACAAAAAAATCCAAAGATATCCACTTTCTCTTGAAACCTTACAGGAAAATATGCATGTTTCTTCATGCTGATATTATGCTAAACATGTTTGTTTATCTCACCAGGAAGAAAACAGCTGTGTTGTTTGAGTTTTCTTTCCTTGAACAACAGAAGAAGTCCATTCTACATATGTATATACCCATTGCATCTACAGTATGTTACCCGGTGTAGTTACATGCAAAACTTTGGGTGAATTATGCATCTTGCTTTTTTATACCCATTGCATCTACAGTATGTTACACGGTGTAGTTACATGCAAAACTTTTGGGTGAATTATTGGTGAAGTAAATAGATGTCAATACAACCCATGCACCAAGCAGATGTTACAAATGGGCCTTCCTTTCAGTGTTAGTACACTGCTGGTATTTATTTCATGAATTTAAAGGAATAGTTTGGGATTTTTAAAGCTGGTATTAAAACAATATCATCTATGTATGTGAGAATAAGTCCTACTTTCCAGTTTGTCCAAAGTTTAAATGCAGCTTCAGCTGTCCCACTAAGCTAATTCAACTCTATTTAAGACAAATTTCCCTCTTTTATTTCCCTGGTCAACATTACAGTACCTTACATCATAGCAACAATGAAATTACTGAGTATAATGTTAAATTTCTCACCACTTTATAATGAACTTGTATGAAACAAACATCTCTGGGACTGTCTCACAACAACAAATATAATGCTATATTCATTACATTCAGAATGGACAGACCAACCTTAACATAGGCAGCTCCCACATGCTTCCATTCATTTTCAATGAATAACCATAGAAGAGTAGTCCAACCTGATCATATGCACTGATACACTCTAAGCTCTAATTTTCTGCAGCCACACAATAACATTCAATAGTGACTGTGATAAAATCTGTGCTGGTTCCTTCTCCATCCTCCTCCGTCCCCTCTCTGTCAGTATGTTTGCATGATAAAGGCAGTATTTAACAGATATTTTCACTGCTGGGCTACCACATCTACTTTGCAGGTGTGAAGGCAAAGGCTCTCACAGCTGTTAAGGTGGCACCAGCAGTATCGATGCAGCTGTTGAATAACTGTTATCTGTTTAATATCTAAGCAATGTGGGAGAAAAACCTATCAGCCCGCCGGGAAAATTCTTGAACTTTGACGGCCAGTGGATGTGCAGTCAAAACATAGACCAAGGATATTTAAGTTCAGTAAATGTAGAAGGGTGGAGTAGTTCAAGTGAGTTTTGTCTCTAACTAGCCTGTTGTGTATGAAGTACTAATCAGTACATGCTCTATGTGTTCATCCCTTTAATTTCATAGCTTATTTTATTGTCCAACATTTGGACACATTTTTGGATTTTCAGGCTCTGTGCTTTAATATGAAATAAAATAATGTATACAACATTAGAGTGCCAAATCTCTGCTGCTCTATGTTTATATCAATATTGAAAGAACTAAGTGGGATAAGTAGCCATTTGAATACATAGTACTATACTAGGAAATGTTAATTAGATTCATTGTAATTGCTTTCCATCTATCACCATTCCCACCAGACTTGGCCATACGTTCTGCAAACATTAGCAAGAAGGTGAACATAACAGAAAATTATATGAGATAAAGGTACTCTGTGAAGATTCCTTGTAAATAGTTATGTTTACATGAAAATGATGAAAACACACTGCGTATCCTTGAGGTCTCACACATTGAATTCATTCCTTGTAAAATATTTGCAAAGATGATTTAAAATATTTTAATTAGTGCGCTGTTTACACATTGCCTGATAAATGTTGTGAAAATTGGACCGGACATGGTTTCTCTCAGAGATGTTACCTCCTCTGTGACACTTTGCCACTTACAGCCCTTTTGTTGTTACTCTAGCTTGAGCTGTCAAAATACAGTCTATAAAGTAGCCCCACCTGCCACCTAGTGAAGGTTCTTCAAACCAAAAAAGTTTTTTAAAAGTCCAGACACAAATGGATTCAACCAGGAATATTTTTTTTCCAGTTTTGGTGGCCACATACACTAGCGCAAAACAGGTGCAGCTGTTATGTTAGGGATGCTGATTACATCATTAGTAGGGAGAATGGAGAACCAGCAGAAAGAATCTCAGTGAATTTCATTAAGTACCAATCACATGAGCTCCTCTCATCTCCTCTGAAAGCAGCAAGAAGCGGAGGGTTCATCTCCATGTTCCAAAGCAATTCACAAGACCCCAAACATTAACGTACATCATCCCAAATGCACTGTCAATGGTAGAGTGAACAGACAACTGATAATGGTGCAGCAGCTGCTGAAATATCAGCAGAGCTGGTTAGAATTGTGCAAACAATTAAGTTACATGCAAACTGACTGTTCTGTAGAGCTCCGGGCCACAGGATTACATTCACATTTGTCATGTTAGTAATCTTAGTCTCAAGATGTATTTTCTTCCTTGTTCACTGTGGTGCACACAATGATACCAGACAGCACAATGAGGAGTTCTCGCCACTAAAATAGGCTGAACAATGATATGATTACAGAAATGTGATGCTAAGGCAAGACAACAGTGTGACTGAAATAGCATTACAATCCAGTTATTCACCACCACTTTGGAGGGGAACTAAAAATTTAATTTTTAATTTAAGAAAGTCTTTGCAGAATAACCTAACCATTTTAACACTTGGTTAGGTCATTTGTCCCCTCCCTCTCATATAACCCATAAGAGTGCCACTACTTTTGCCAGGTGAAATTGCAAGAACTCCATCAACATTAATGACAGCATACAGTATGTCACAACGGCAAGCTTTAGCATACTCTGTCATTGTGGAAACTGCCATCAATATGCTATTACTATTAGGAAGCCATCACAGTTTCACCACGTTTAGGTTAGGTTTAGGACAAACAACTACTTTAAAAAAAGCACACAGTGGAATTGAACACTGCTTACCAGGAGGAAAGCCCTGTGTTTTGTGTACCTAGCCATCCATGCCAGCCTTCTCCTCTTCTGCCCCTATACTACACTATCTCACTTGTTCCTTTGTTCGTATCATAATTACTACTGTCACCATAACATGTAACTATTAGTCCAAATGACCTGCTGGTACAAATGATCTGTTGAGCTGTTTTATAAAGGAGGACCGTGTCCTTGTTTCAATCAAGTATAAGGGTGCCAACACTTTTAGCCACACCTGTAACACTGTTGCCATTAAGAATAGGGTGTGCAGTATCTAATGTATAAATTAGCTGAACAACAGCTACTTTAAAAAAACAGTGAAAACAACAAAGCCCTCCAAACCCAATACCTGCTGAGAACAATATCTTTTTTATGGACAATTCAAATAGAAAAACAGTGCCAACAACAATGAACCTGTCTTTTCTATGGAAACACAGAGCAGCTAAAATCTGTTTCTTGTGTAAATTTTCAGATAACCCACGAATGGTGAGTCATGTTCCAGTCACAATCCAGGTCCTGGACGTCAATGACAACATTCCATCCATCTCTGGGGGCAACAGTGTTGTCATAGTCTGTGAGGGCACCAAAAATGGGCAGGTGAGTTGCTAATGTTCCAGCCAAGGTGAACAAAAGAAGTGTTTTTGGGTGTTGGGGCACATCCACAGCACACGTAATACACACCGCAATATCTCACGTAGGCACTCACATCACAGAATGAAGCATACAAGAAGATACAAAGCGATTCTGTTGTCTGATGCTGGATTCAGAAGCCTTTTGTGAGCTGTTTGAATTGATTTGTCACTTTAAGAAACATCTCCAGCTGGCTTGCTGGGTAACATGTTTTTATTCTCATCTTTGTAATGCTGTGATTGTGGCTTGTAGGGGTCCAGATATTGTTATATAAAGATTCTCCTTAGCCGCTATGATGCAACAACACACAAGAAGAAAACGTGCTATCCCATGAGAAGCTATGGCACTGTAGGCTGAGTGTGTCAGTGAGGGGAGCAGTTCTGTAAAAATTTGCTGCTTTTACAAAATGAGTCGCTTAATAATGTTCATGCAGTATTCCATCAGCTCACCACCACATAAGTTAGCTTGCTAACATATTAGCCACACAGAAATACATCAGCTTTCCCACTTTTGCTACATGACACAATAATGATAATTGAAGGTCCACTAACTAACATTTTCCCCTAAACCTGTCAACATTTACATACAGGAACTGTTTAATGTCAGGACAACTGAGCATACTTCAGTCACTGCTAGAAAAAGTACCGATAAAAACATCACTGAGTCACATTATTGCACTGGGTGATATGAATATGAAGACTGCATTTTGACTCAGTGCCATATACACTATCCTGTTTCTAGAAACACTCACTGGACCACCAAATGCAGGTTAAAACTGTCCTCAAATAGTCCTCCTCTTTGAGTCACATTTAAAACTAAAGTGACAAACTCTTATAGTAACTTACTGAGCCTTTTTAAAAATGAAATAATATATTTGTGACATGTTTAAAATATCTTTGGTAAGAACCAATGGGCTTGGGGCTATTATCACAAAAAGGGCACAGAAATTATTAGGAGACAGAGCAGCATGTGGGTTTTGGTCTTTTTATGTGATGTGCACAATAAATACAGTAGACAATGAAGCCAGATTCATCCTTCAGGTGTAAGTAAAATTGAATATTGACACGCCATTACATAAAACTTTTTAAGAATCGAGTAAAATCACAATTACAAACCACTTCCAGCTACAGATTCAGTGCCGCTTACTGAGTTAATCTCAGGATGCAGCCGGTGCAAATCTTCAGAGAGGGCTTCTCAAATTCAAGGTAAAGTCTGCCTTGCTTAATAATATTGTACTCTGAGAGAGTGATACATCATGGAAAATTGAAACAAATAGTACAAGTCATTTATAAAAAACTCCACAGAACCCAACACCCAAAGCATGTGCAAATTAAATCTTACAATGTACAAAGTCACCTCTCAAACAGAAGAACATATCAAACCAAATATATACACCACTGAACACATGTATAATAACACATTCATCTCTCGCCACCCCCACCCCCCGTCTCTCACCCACACACACACAGATGCATGCTGGCACACACCTACATTTGGGATCTGTAGACTTTTGTTGTGTGTCTGACACCATCAGTGGGGAATTTATCAGCTGAGCTGCAGACTTTGCAGCTTCTTGAACCCATAAATTATTCAGACTGCGGATCTCACTGACATTTCTGTTGCTATGCCAGATAGCAGCAGAGACAATTATATTAAACCTAAACATGGGCTTGCCCCCCAGCCCCCCCCCCCCCCTCCTTGCCACTGCCTGCCTCTCTGCTCCATAGTGAGGCTAGCTCTAAACTAGGGATAATAAAACACTTTTTACTGGTGATATACGAAGGCGCAGATCTGCATCCCAGTAATTGCTGCCACCACATGTACCTCCATGCAAACACGGCACACAAACTCTATCTACCTTATTATGTTGTATTGCTCTCATGTATTACCTGTCCACTATTTCTTTGGTTTGTATTCAAATAAGCAGTGTGTGTGTTTTGTGTACCGGCATGAGTATGGATTGGTGTTGCCTTTGGGCAACAGACAACACATACTAGCACAGTCAGTGGTGATGGATTCTTTTTGTCCATATCTTGCATTGCATTAAATTGAGACATGGCAAGTGCTGCTGCTGCTGCATTTGTGGACTCATTTGCATAATTGATTTCAAAACGATGAGACTGGCTGTTTAGGTTGTGGGGCAAACAGTACACTGAATACGTATTTCTTGTTTGATGTATTAAATGCATGGAGACCAGTGGCAGATACAAGCCTGAGGGCTCAGAATTCACTGCAACTCACATATTTCTTTCTTGATTTTTGCAGTCAGTGATGCCTGCAGAGTAATGTGAGAGTAGCATTAAAATAGTTGTCTGTACTTGAATAGATTTTGCTTCAAGTTACAATTGTTGCTAACACATTAAAGATTTTTTAATGACAAGCAATCTTAAAGCAATTTATACAACAGTTCATGTGTTTTTTTTTTATTAAATTTATGTTGCATTCCCTTACCCCTAGACAAATGGGGACATAAGACAGTGAATCTAGAATCATTTACAAGGGGTGGTGAAAAGGTGGCAAGAGGCTTTGACAGAATGGAATGGGATGGCACTGTCTGGAGGTTTTGTACATATATCACATACATCAAAAAATAAAGAATAACTAAAACATATTAGTTTCCTGAGTGAAAGGCACTGCACTGAACAGTTAATAAAAACATACTTAGAGGTCCAGGTGGAACTGTGGCAGGGTTTGTCTCCCTGTCTTCATCTATCTCATCATCACTCCCTGCTTCTGGCAGGGATGTATTGCACTGCAAAATTCTACCACTGAAGTGAGGTCCAGCTGAACTATCAGGCATGGAAAGGGTGACACCATATAACCCAAAGGTGTAAATACATTAGTGACTTAGCTATTTTATTTGATTTTGATTTCACTGTTTCAGCCATTACAGGACATCTTCAGTGGGGACATTGATTCAGTGGCTATAAAACATCTTAATGCTTGCTGAGGTGTTGCTGTTTTTACCATGTGACCAGGACCACACATTGAGGTTGGGACAATATTTGTTGCATCTCACAGGGAAGCTTTGATTTTACCCTCAGACGCAGCAGAAGCAGCACTCATTTGCTGTGTTCCTCTGCAGGGGTGTGAGGGTGTGGGGTACACTCTGGAGAGGTCGCCAGTCTATCACAGGGCTCCCATACAGAACCTACTGTATAGAGACAGACAACCACTCACACTCACACCTACTTGTAATTTAAATTCAAAGATCAACTGAAGCTGCATGTCTTTGGACGGTGGGAGGAAGCCAGAATACCCAGAGAGAAGTCATGCAGGCACAGGGAGAACATGCAGTGTCCACACAGAAGAGCCACTGTCAGCCACGAGGTTGACCGCAGAACCTTCTTGCTGTGAGGTGACAGTGCTAACCACTGCACACCTTGACAGCCTCCTCTTCTATCATTTACATTTATAAAATTAGTGGCATCAGCTCAGTGTGAAGGAAGCGAGCATTGATAATACTGCAGGCCTATCCGATACAAGGAAGTGCCACTCAGAACACACGACAGAAGGCTAAATGAATGTGGCAGAATGATTGTGGGCATATAGGAAGGAGCTGCATTTATTCTAAAAGCTACTACCATAGGATTGTAACAAACTCAGAGGGCTTTGTTGTTGCAAGTGGGAACAAAATGCCATAGCTGCTAAATTTAACCAAAATATATCCAGAATCTGAAAGTGAACCAGAACAAACTGCTGAATGTTTTACACTGAGTTTACACAGAATGAGAACATTAATTGTTTTTGTTTGTTTAATACCTAACACTGTCTATGTTTACCTCGAACTGTAGTACCTGAGTGAATTATTACCTTTTGCTGGCAGGAAGAATGGTAGAAAAAGCATGACATTGTTGTTTTTGTTGCAAACCTCTTGAGGGCAAGCTGGGATGCATAGGTCAACAAACTGACATTGTGACAAGGGAGACTGTTGCACGTTTCCCATTTAGTACAGACTGTCAGCATTTCTTCTTTTTTAAACAATGACCACAAGCTTTTTCTAACCCCAGTCAAGTAGCCCCAGGGAGAATGTAAAAGGGACTGGAGAATGATGATTGATTTGCAGCCTGTAACAGTACATACACTACTGTGTCTTCATCAAGTCAAAATGGGCAAACACATGTACAGTTTGCATTGCTGGTTGAACACTATTTCAGTTCTACTTGATAATGGATAAAAGGGTGGGAGTTGCAATAGCCCAAGTCCCACTACCCATGCACTCTAATCACATCAGAAACAAAAGAATAGATATACCTTAAACCGACAATAAGTGATTTTGTTCTTGTTGTTGTTTGTTGTCCCCTTTGCCCTTGGGGCTGTTCAGCTCCTCAACATTAAACTACTGTTTCCCATCTCACTGGGTTCCTCATCATACGTATACACACAGTACTGGATTGTCATATCTTTCCTTTTCTCCTATATTTATTATTATTCACTCCACATATATTAACTCATGTATGACTCACTCTCTCTCTTCCTGTGTGAATGTGTTGAATATTGTATATTGCCAAATTTCTTGCACTTATAGAGCTACACTGCACTGTGGTAACTATTATTATAGGTATGCTTTGGGCTCTTTCAATTGCCCCTAGGGGATAAACAGAGTTTACTAACAACTTGTTAGTAAATGGCTTGTTTACACGTCCAGCAGTTACAAAGCAGCATCAGGTTTATTTGGAACCGTTATACAGAAGCTGTTTTTGGTCCTTGCCCACCCCTGAAGGAAATATGTGGCTTTTTGTAATTAGTTCATACAATATTTACTGGTTTTAGAGGATTTGCATTTGAATAGGTAATGTTTTTATGTTTTGTTTGCGGCAAATTCCATATGTTTGTTAGACCTAGAGAGAACATGTTGATGTGAAACTGATTGTACACTGGTAGTTCCTAGAGCAGACTTTTATTGGCCAAATTATGAAATAGAAATATTACAAATTTTCTGCTAACGTCAACATTCTTAATGTGTA